ATGAGAAGCGACGGCAAAAACATGGACGCTTGCAGGTCTGTCATTATGGCCGATTGATGGATAGTATGAAGCGGTCCATGCACAGTCTCAGATGGCTCATACGTCCTCTGCTCAGTATCCCCATACTTATGCTCACTCTCCGTGTACGAATGCGACAGCAGTCCGGATCGAATTAGACTTGCTCGCTCATCAGACATCTCGATGCTCTCTCTATCGCCTTCAGAATCGCACATACTGTACCGGGGCTCTGTTTTAAGAATTCGGTTCTCTTCAATTGTTGAGAGTTTTTTGTTGACAATTGACACAACAACATCAGTGTCCCTGAATATGGAAACAAGATAAAGAACCATTTTAATGTATGAAATAAAAACCTTTCAATCTGCATTGTCAAGATCATAGATCAGGGGTTCTTGAGTTATTTGAGCGCCGGGCCAGAAAAACATATCTTTTTTTCTTCGGGGTCCACTGATTTTCAACTTCTACATAGCTTGTGCCAAAAAAGATACCATAGATAGAATATTTTGTTGGGTAGATGGAGGGATTGGCTTATCGTGCTATACAAGACGGATTCAAAGGGCTGAAGCCAGGAACTTTCAAAGGGAGGGGGTCTAAAAGCTACTAACTGTCGCATAGTATATTAGGCTAGGAAATCAATATCGTCAGGTCCATTTGATGCACTGGAAGTCAGATCAAAAGACGGCTAAATATATTTTAAAGAGAGGCCAAAATGTAATGATTGTACCTGTGTTAAACAAAGGCCGACACCATGTTTAACATTCTTCAAAGCCGTTAAGGTATATGATGAAGAGTAGGGGGCCTAGGCATGAACCTTGGGGAATGCCACTTGTTACCCCTAAGGGCTTGGAACATTCACCATTGATTCTGCAAAATTGTTTACATTGGGTTATGTAGGATCGAAACCAGTTAATGACATTGCCCTGTACACCATATCTAGAAAGTTTTTCGAGCAATATTTTGTGATCCACTGTATCGAAAGCCTTTTTTAGATCCAAGAACATGGTCATATTGATCTTTTGAGGATCAATATTGTTAAGCCATTCATTAGTACTTTTTATTAAAGACGTGATAGTTGAGTGTAGCTTACGAAACGCGTGCTGATTCCTTTTTAGCAGTTGTTTCTCTTTGAAATAATCAATCAGCTGATCGTGAAGTATTTTTTCAAGAATCCTTGAAAATATTGAAAGCACGGATATAGGCCTGTAGTTATTCATGTCACCCCTTACACCTGATTTAAAAAATTGGAGTCACCCTTGCAAACATACCAGATATCTAGAAAATTACCTGCGGTGAGTGATGAGTTGTATATTAGTGTAAGGGGGAGGGCAATAAATTCGGATGCATCTTTAGCTAATCTGACAGGGATTTTACCTGGCCCGCTGGCTTTGCCGTTTTTCAGCCCCGTCAGTGCTTCTAAGATCTGCTGATAAAATTTTATAATTTAATATAATTAATAAAATAAAATTTAAGAAAATTTAATGAAAATTGCTGTTTATGGTCTGACATGTAGTGCCATATACATAGACATATTGGCAGAGCTGTACACGCATCGGTGTATAGACAAGACGGTTCTTAGTTGCTACTCTGAGGTTAATGCACTCGAAAGCACCCCTAGCTGTGGAGGGAAAGCACTATTGGAGTTACAGGCCGCCACGAGAATACAGGGCAGTGGCGCAGCGTCAAGGGAAGCTGGTAATGCGCCGCATGCCCTGCAAAATCTGACCAAAAATATTTCTAAAAACGTCTTTTTCGAAACAGAAAACAGTTTCTATCGCTTAAACAGTTGCTTTGACGATTAATTGAGATTTGCACTGTCGCACCCTTGATACACCCATCGGAGTTCAATGAATCCACCTTAGATTTTACCTTGGAAGTAATTTACTAAACTTCGTGCCCCTGTTTCTAAAGATCCCTTTATTGACTTTGGCTAGCAACCTTTGTTTATATCACTTCTCATTTCCGGGAATGCGGAGTTCTGACCGCATTCCCTGATATAAAACGATTGATTTTTCCCTCTTTAAGTGTAAAATTTTGCAAATATTT